ATTGCCCCCCGAGTACCCCCTGGAACCCGGAGAGAGACCCCAACCCCCCCCACGGCGCCGCTCGGCGGGACCCCCCCGGGGACCCCCCCCCGAGGTGAGTGTGGGGAGGGGGCTGTGGGGTGGGGGGAGACCGAAATGTCCTTTTGGGGGAGGGGTCCCCATTCCAAATCCCAGCTGGGGGTGGCTCCTGGTGGGCCCTGGACCCTGTGTGTCCCCATGGTGTCCTGCTGGTGTGCCCATGGTGGCCTCCAGACCCCCATGGTGGCCCCCAGACCCTGTGTGTCCCCATAGTGGCCCCCAGACCCCCACGGTGGTCCTCAGACCCTGTGTGTCCCCATGGTGTCTCTATGGTGGCCCCCAGACCCCCATGGTGGCCCCCAGACCCCCATGGTGGCCCTCAGACCCTATGTGTCCCCATGGTGTCCCCCAGACCCCCATGGTGGCCTCAGACCCTATGTGTCCCCATGGTGTCCCCCTGGTGGCCCCCAGACCCTGTGTGTCCCCATGGTGTCTCTATGGTGTCCCCCAGACCCCCATGGTGTCCCCCAGACCCTGTGTGTCCCCATGGTGTCCCCATGGTGTCCCCACAGTGGCCTCCAGACCCCCATGGTGGCCCCCAGACCCCTGATGGTGGCCCCCAGACCCTGTGTGTCCCCATGGTGGTCCTCAGACCCCTGACGGTGATCCCCGCTCCCTGTGTGTCCCCATGGTGTCCCCATGGTGGCCCCTGTGCCCATGGTGGCCCCCAGACCCCTGACGGTGGCCCCCCCACCCTGCTCCCTGTGTGTCCCCAGCAGTGGCCCCCGTACCCCGATGGTGGCTCCCGTCCCCCCGTGTGTCACATAGGGACCCCAACGTCCTGCGGGTCCCCACATGTTCTGGTATGTCCCCCACCTGTCCCCATGGTGTCCCCTGGGTGTCCCCGTGGTGTCCCCCTGGTGTCCCTGTGGTGTCCCCTGGGCCTCTGTGGTGTCCCCTGGGTGTTCCCGTGGTGTCCCCGTGGTGTCCCCATGGTGTCCCCGTGGTGTCCCCTGGGCCTCTGTGGTGTCCCCTGGTGTCCCCGTGATGTCCCCATGGTGTCCCCTGGGCCTCTGTGGTGTCCCCCTGGTGTTCCCTTGGTGTTCCCATGGTGTCCCCCAGGTGTCCATGGTGTCCCCAGCCCTGCCACTTCTGTCCCCCCTCTCCCTTCCCCACTTTTTCCCGGGCGGATCCATTTCCCCCCTT